TGCCACAATACCGCACACACACAGGGAACTTACAAAACACCTTATGATATAAATATTGTTGAATATAAAATTCTATATAAAAATCTGTTGATGATAAGTAATGAGGAGGGAGGTGATGAAACCCAAAACAAATTAAATTATTAGGTTGGTGCAAAAATAATGACGTAATAATGTCGTTTTTTGACGTTAAAAATACAAAAAAAAACGACATTATTACGTCATTATTTTTGCACCAACCTAATAAAACAAAATTACACAAACTAAATATAACTGATTTTAGTTGGACCCGTCTAACCCTCAAAAAAATAAGAAAAGCCGCTATATTCTGACTTCAGACAAAATTAAGAGGCTCTCACGCTAAGGGGGACGGCGAGGATAAATACGGTCTAGGCAAAACTGACCCTGTCGAGATGAAAAAGGGGCCAACAACAAACTGGGAGGTTGGGAATCTAGACTTAGATCATAACCAAAGAGGAAGCCGGGAACAGGCCAGGAACAACACTTACATTAACATTGTGAATTATGGAGACTTAGCTCCGTTCACGCGTATCAGGCTCGCCATAGTTACCCACCTTTCGCTGAAAGCTGTCGATACCAAACACTTTCTATCAGTTACTAATCTTCATCCTAAGCTGATGCTCAAAGAGCCGGATTAGATCCTGATGGGAATAGCCTTTCCTTATGAAAATTCTCCAACATTCACTGCTATATCAGACGATGGTTACCACATAGCAATCCAATAATTTTTTTCCTTTGTTTCTAACGATTTTTTTCCGTTCCCAGCGCCTTGCTTGACTTTTGGAATGCCTCTGTCTTCGGATGTAGGTGCCATATTTTCGATCCTCTCTTAAAACGCTTCCGAGATATTTGAACTTCTGCGCCTCTTTGATGTTGACATGTCCTATTTGTAACTCGCATCTTCATCTTTTTTCTCTTGAAAAAGTATTTGTTGTTAACATTCTTTTTTCATTTGGTTTTTCCAGTTACGAGTCCTTTTTTAAAGCTGATCGTTTTGTGTTCATTTTGTTTAGTTATTTTTTCGTAACAGGTTTAATGTTTAGTATAGAACTTAGAAAAAATTTGCAGTGTGAGATAGGCAAGAAGTAAGGCATGTAGCAACATCAGCACGGCAAAGGGCTCTCCTTTAAAGGCAAGGAAGAGCAAAAATATTTTATGTCAAGTGATAGCGATTTCTGTATAAGTCGTACGATATTTGAATCAAGCACGGGCAACTCCGGGCCATGCTGCTAGTCCGTAGAATAAAATCAGTTTTAAAATAAAATAAAAATAAATCAAATCAACTTAAAAAATGTTCAAATTCGAAACTGGCATTAAACTTTAAATTTTTGGATTTGTCAAGCACATTTTTATTCAAATCTTATCCATTCATATATTTCCCCTTCTATTTACCTGTAGCTCCTTGATAAACCAAAGAAGAATCAGCAATATTATTGGTCCTGATCTGGCATCTAGGTTTCAGTCACTTTCCCATCGCCGTAAGGTTGCCTTTCTATGTCTTTCCTATAAATACTTTTTATGGTAATTGTTCGGATGAGGTCTTCGCTATGGTACCCAGACTTTTTAAATTTAAGCTCAGTACTAGACTGGCATCGAGATCTCATCAATTTGCAGTTGATGTAGCTGTAAATTCTATGCTAACAATTTTTTCTCGCACTTTTCGCTTGTGGAACTCCCTTCCGGCTCCATGCTTTCCAGTCAACTATAATCTGCAAAAATTTAAATGCAATATCAATCGCTATCTGCTGTCCTCCCGAATACTCTTTTCTCTTCCCACATACCTATATAATAAATGTGAATGTCACTGTGTCACACTTTTTCAACTTTTCTCTTAGACGCCATAGTCCAACATATCATACGATTTTGGAATCAGACTGACCCTGTGGGCAAATTAAAAACATTCTGGGTCGAATCCGGACCCGCAATCCTAAAAATTTTTGATTCCTGCGTTTTCATAACTGCGATTGTTTTCGGCGAGTTTTTACGTGATTTTTTGCGACAAATTTTTGTACAATAAAAATTTTTATAAATTGGAAATAAATTTAGGAATAATCGAAATTAATTGCAAAATCCGGCGAAAGTCATCGATAAAATGAAAATAACTGCTTGCATGGAAAATACATACATCAAATTTTCTTTAAATTAAGTGGAAGAATTATCGTTGAACTTTTAAAAGTCCTCCACAGAAGCTACCTTAAATGGCGCCCGATAGAGCAGCTTTTATGCTAGTCTTCGTGTATGTAACTGTTTACGCATATACGATTCGTAAAGAAAAAAAGAAAAATGGTAAATAAAAGGAGAAAATTTTAAAGGAATAATCAACGACATATACAGGAAGAAAAAAGGCCTGCATACGGATAGAAAATTAATTTTTTTTTTAAGCGTTTCACCCCAAGCAAGGCGAGAAGCCACTAGGATGCAGGGGGTTGCAGAAGATTTGGAGCAAGATCAGGTAGGAGTGATAGAGGAAAGAATGAGGAGAAGGGTAGTGGATAGATCAAGGCAACTGGAGATGTCGATTGACATTACATTTGAATAGTTGGAGATTATAGCTCTCAGGGAAACTGGAATAGGGAAGGGAGTTCCACAGGCGAGAGGTGCGAGACATGAAGCTATTGGAGTAGAAGAGATGGCTACATTTAGGAGTTTCTACAGTGAAAGGGTGAGAGCGGGATGCCAGCCTCGTAGGGCGCTTGAACTCATGAAGTCTGGGAACCAGCGAATGCAGCTCCTCGGAGCAATTACCATGGAAGTATTTGTAAAAAAGACAGAGAGAGGCAACAGTTTCCTTTGCAACTCTTGATCTCAATCTATCCTGTGAGAATCAGATTTTCCCTATACTCTAGAAATGTCAACTATCTCTTTCTGATGTTAAGTATAAGTTTCTTTTTTGTTTCCATTTTCTCTAAAACCTCATGCTTGTTCCATGATATTCTCAGCATCCTTCTGTAGAACCACATTTCTTTTGCTTCAAGTCTCTTCTTAATCTCTAATGAGATTGTGCAGCATTCACTGCCATACAGTAAGACTAATATTAAATAACAGTTCCGTATTATTTTCTTTGTTTCTAACGAAAATATCTTGTCTCTTAATAGTCTGCTTAGCTTTTGAAAGGCATCTTTGGCTATCCCAATGTGGCTTCGGATTTCGTGGTTACACTTTCCGTGCTCTGTTAGAACATTTTCCAGATATTTAATTTTTTCTACTTGTTTGATTTGGGCATCTCCAATTTGTAATTCACATGTTGGGCTCCCTTTTGCTGACAACCATACATTCTGTCTTCTTACAGTTGAAGTTTAGTTCTTTTTCTCACTTTCCATTCCTACCTTCTGTTGGGGCTTTTGAATTTTTCTTTCCGTGTTTCTTATCAACACTGTGTTATCTGCATATCTTATGTTCTTAAGAATATGGCCGCCAATAATGAATCCTGGTAGACTTCTAATTTTCTCAGAATTGCCTCGCTGGATATGTTGAATAAGTCCGGGGAGAAGACACATCCTTGTCTTACACATCTTTCTTTTTTATATCTCCTGAACTCATCTTCTATCCGAATGCAAGGGGTTTACTGTCAGCATAGGTTCGGGATAATTTACCTATATTAGATAAATTATTTTTTTTCAGCTGCCGAAAATACACATAGTTCTGGGGGTACCTAGTCATTCTTCTTCTCCATCTATGTGTCATGTCCCTTCAGAACGTTGTCGATCATGGCTCTTCACAATTTCCTTTTGTACCTTTTAATAAAATTTGTTCTTTGTTATCTCTCCTAAACCTTTTACGCCATTCATTTACTCAAGCTCGCTAATTACGATATGCATGGTTTTTCTCTGTCTCTGTTGCCTTCAATCTGTCCTGTGAGTATCAAAATTTCCAAACCCTCTTTCCTCGTTATATGTCCTAGAAATTTCAAATGTCTCTTCCTGATGTTAAGTGTCCTTTTAGTTTCCATTTTCTCAAAAACTTCGTCGTCGTTGACATGTTCAGTATATGGCATTCTCAGTATCCTTCTGTAGAACCATATTTTTATCGCCTCATGAAGGATTCGTGTTACGTAACAGTTAAGGTTTTTTTTCTTTGTTTCTAACGAAATTTTTCTGTTTATTAATTGTTTGCTTAGTTTTTGGAAGGCTTCTTTTGCTATCCCAATATGCCTTCAGATTTCGGTGTCGCATTTTCTGTCCACTGTTAAAAGACTTCCCAAACATTATTATTTAGTACGAAATATAAAATATACTTTAAACAATCTTCGGCAATGTTTAACCCGCGTGCCCGAAAAAAACAAAACAAAAAAAAACAAAAAAAACGGTTTATCAAAAAGAGAGTTATTCCTTTGACACTATAGAGAAGGTAAGAAGAAACCACACTACTTTCCCTGAAAGCTATGGCTTTCTGGGAAAGTAGTCAGGTTTCCTCTTAAATAAAAAAAATAAAGAAAGCGGAACGTGTGGGGAGCCATAATCGCCTATGTGCTGAAGGACTATGGCATAAAAAAGGACATTTTTGTTCAAATATTACAATCCGTCCATTCTTTACCCTCCAGCTATGGGTTAAATAGCAGGGTAGATTGGGCTCACTAGCTATGGTTGGCAGCCAGTCTAGGTGAAGAAGTATACTAAATTTCAAACTATAGAAAAGTTAACAGGAAACCACTCTACTATATTTTCAAAAAAAAAACATGACAATTCACAATTAATAAAGAAAACGGAATGTATGGAGAGCCATGATCCCCTACGTCCTGGAAGGAAGTAACAGTTTTAAAAGAAAAAATTACAACTACTACTTTTAAAATTATTTTGACGATTACTAATTGCTTTGATAATATTTACTAAGCTAAAATTAGTTAATACTCAGACAATTTAAACTGGCATAGTGTTATGGTAATTTACCCATGCACGCACGGACTCTCCCAGCTATAACAAGGAGCAGGTATTGCCTTTTAAAGAGGGAAGTTTCCAGCAGTCGGTTCTGAGAGTCGGGCCGAACTATCGTAAGCCAAAGAGAGAGAGAGAGAAAGAAAGACACAGAGAGAAAGACAGATATAGAGAGAAAGACATGGAGAGTGAAAGAGAGAAAGAGAGAGAGAGAGTAAGAGAGAGAGAAAGAGAATGAGAAAGAGACAGTGAGAGAGAGGGACGAAATGAAATTGTAAGCCATAGAGAGAGAAAGAGAGAAACAGAGAGAGAAAGAGAGAAACAGAGAGAGAGTGAGTGAGAGAGTGAGTGGGGCTGTAACACTGTCGTTTGTATATGTTTGTATTACTCTTTCTGTTAATATATGTGTTTAACTCAATTCCTCTCTTGTGTTTTTATTTCGGACCCTAACAAAGCCACAACACCTAGTGAACTAATAAAAGAATCAATGGTGTACACAAGAAGATATTTGGGTAATGTTTAAAGTTTGTGCCCGCAAAAAAAACGGTGTCAAAAGCACGGTTATTTCCCTTGACTCCGCTAATTCTCTATACACTTTTGATAAATTAACAAGCCATTCCTTGCCACGGTTAACAATAGAATGGAGATCATTTTTTAGGGATCAACTGCCAATTTACTCTTACCGAACCTTACTATTGATGAAAATTGGGAACAACGTAGGTCCAAGAATAGAACCTTGTGGGACGCCTGCATTAATGCAAAAAAAAAAAGACCTGTAAGAATTACCGTCCGAGTCTACATTCACGATTTGTTAAGAAAGACTGAATCAGCGCAAAAATTCGTCCAGAAATACCAAAACCTTTCAAATTTTCAAAGACCAGTATTCCAAACCCTGTCAAAGGCTTTCGAGATGTCCAAAGCATCCCGAGTTTCATTATCTTATCTAAATCATGATAGATTCTTTCAGCAATAAAATCGTCAAAACATCAGCAGTTGACCCAGAGAAGCGAAAGCCATATTGCTTATCTGAAAGAAGATCCTGCGAGGGAAGATGCTTAATCTAGTCTGTTTAGCTTCTTTCAACACAACATAGTTGATATTCTTAATCAGACCACACACACACACACACATATATATATATATATATATATATATATATATATATATATATATATATATATATATATATATTTCAATCTGGTCTCTACGCAGTATGCGTACAAACCCGCTTGAAACAGGCTATCCCCATATTGAGGCAATTATGGTTTTTTTGTTTTTGGTTTTTGTTTTTGTTTTTGTTGTTGTTGTTTTTGTTTTTTGCTGTAAAAAATACATATACTCTTTTATAATAAATACATCGATCTCTCTGTGGATCAGTTTTAATAATTAATATTACTAGGATCCACCCGGATTATATTATATACCAACGGATCGATTGCCTCTACTATACATACATATATATATATATATATATATATATATATATATATATATATATATACATACACTTGTGCAAATTAATCGAAACAATCGCTTTAGTTTCCTTTCATTCGCCATACGGTCAGTTTTAGACCCACTGGAGTGACAGAGTGTAATCGATTTCTATTTTTTCCTCAGATTAGGTCATTTGCAATGGTGTGCAGTGATATGAATTATTTTCCGGGTGTATGATGACATTTTTTGACGATTAAAAAATATAGCGTCATCCGTGTTTGCATCAGTTTTTCATCCCGCCCAGACAGAGGGCAGAGGTATGTTATAAAAATCCAATCACCTCAGACTCACGAGCCTTTTGGCCGACAGCTGTTGTTGTTATTATAATTCCTGTCTGTTATTACTGCGATGACCTGACCCTAGCGGAGAGGATCGAAAAGGAACGACTTCTTTTTTTTTTCTCTTTTGCAACTCGGTCATTCACCAACTATCTCCACGCTGGTCTTTTCAGTCGAATTCATTTTCGACAATATATAAAAAAAACTATAAAAACAATATGTATGTATGTGGATGAGTGTGTGAGTGAGTGAGTGAGTGAGTGAGTGAGTATATGAGTGAGAGCGTGAGTGAGCGTGTGAGTGTATGAGTGAGTGCGTGAGTGTATGAGTGAGTGTGTAAGTGAGTGAGTGTGTGAGTGAGTGTATGAATGAGTGTATGAGTGTATGAGTGAGTGTATGAGTGAGTGTGTGAGTGAGTGTATGATTGAGTGTGTGAGTGACTGTATGAGTGAGTGAGTGGTGTGTGAGTACATGAGTATGGTGTGTGTGGTGTATGGTGAGTGATGGTGTGTGTGAGTGGTGTGTGGTGGGTGTGGGTGAGTGTGTGAGTGAGTGTGTGAGTGAGTGTATGAGTGAGTGTGTGAGTGAGTGTATGAGTGAGTGTGTGAGTGAGTGTGTGAGTGAGTGTATGAGTGAGACCTCCGAGTCTAGCTGTCGTGATACAGTCTTTGACTGTAAGCGACGAGTGTCAAACTCTCTGCATTAGGAGAGAGGAACCCGGACGAAGCTTTGCCGAAGGGCAAGGTTTCGTTCAGGGAAGGTAGACAGGGCCTGAACCCGTCTAGGCGGTTCTAAAATAGCTATATTTTTGGCCGAGCCTACGGGCTCGGGGATACCCACACTAAACCGGCTTTGTGCCATATTCAATCCTTGTGGGTGGGTTGATAAATAGTGAGTGTATGTGTGAGTGAGTGTGTGAGTGAGTGTATGAGTGAGTGTGTGAGTGAGGTGTATGGTGAGTGTGTGGTGGTGTATGGTGGTGTGGTGTGTGGTGACTGTATGGTGGTGGTGGTGGGTACTTGGTGTGTGTGTGTGTGGGTGTGGTGGTGGATGTGTGGGGTGTGTGGTGGTGTGTGGTGGTGTGTGGTGGTGACTGTGGTGGTGTGGTGGTGTGTGGTGGGGTGTGGTGGGTGTGAATGGTGAGTAAGTGTGTGGTGATTGTATGGTGGTGGGTGTGTGAGTACATGAGTATATGGGTGTGTGAGTGTATGGGTGTGTGAGTGGTGTATGGTGGTGGGTGTGGTGGGTGTGTGGGTGGGTGTGTGGTGACTGTGTGGTGGGTGTGTGGTGTATTGTATGAGTGGTGTGTGTGTATGGTGGTGAGTGAGTGTGTGTGTGAGTGTGTGTGAGTGACTGTATGAGTGAGTGAGTGAGTGAGTGTGTGAGTGAGTGAGTACATGAGTATATGAGTGTGTGAGTGTATGAGTGAGTGTGTGAGTGTATGAGTGAGTGTCTGAGTGAGTGTATGAGTGAGTGTGTGAGTGAGTGTGTGAGTGAGTGTGTGTGTGAGTGTGTGAGTGACTGTATGAGTGAGTGAGTGAGTGAGTGAGTGAGTGAGTGAGTGAGTGTATGAGTGAATGTGTGTGTGTGCGTGTGTGTGTGAGTGTATGAGTGAGAGAGGATGCTGAAAATTAATTTCAAAAAGTTTGACCAAACGTAAGATTTTTTTCAGTCTCTTTTTGGTCAGATTGAGAACTCAGCACTTTTCCTCCCTACATCTCCCTCTCTCCTCTCTCTCTCTCTCTCTCCCTCCCTTCCTATCTACCATGCTTTCCCTCTCACTCTTCCTCCCTCTCTCATTCCTTCCGTCTTCCTCCTTCCCTCTGTCTTCCTCCTTCCCTCTGTCTTCCTCCTTCCCTCTGTCTTCCTCCTTCCCTCCGTCACTCGCACACACAATTACATAAAAACACACTTATATATATATATATATATATGTGTGTGTGTGTGTGTGTGTGTGTGTGTGTGTGTGTGTGTGTATTCATTTAATTTTATTGACATCCGTAATTCTTCCGTCGATCTAAAAGCTTTTACTTGTCAGTTCCCGTTAGTATTTGCCTGTCCGCCACGCTTCGTTGCATTCGGTTTGAAATCCCCTCCACCACTTTCCCCAGTGATGATGAAATTAAATGCTGGAAGCAAATTACCTTGCTCTAGTATTCATCTTAGTTTAGGTGGATACAAGTTTTAGATGTTTTAGTAACAATTAATTAAAATTAATTTTACCGAAGGCTTGTCAGACTATCTCACCTGTATTCGCTTCTAAGTCAAAGAAATGAAAAAGAGTGAGAGAGAGAGAGTGGGGAAGGGGGAGAGAATGAAAGAATAAGAAAGAAGGAAAGAATATTTGAGAAAATCTATAAATAAATATAGAAAAAAGAAAAATGTGAAAACATCTGGAAAGAAACAAACAAACAAAAAGAAATGTGTGAGAAAATCCCGAAAAAAGATGAGAGGAAATCTGGAAATCTGGAAAGAAAGAAAGAAAGAAAGAAAGAAAGAAAGAAAGAAAGAAAGAAAGAAAGAAAGAAAGAAAGAAAACCTGGAAAAAGAGAAATATGCGAGAAAATCTGAAAATAAAAAGAAAAACTGGAGAGAAAGGAAGAATGAAAAAGAAAAAAAATGTGAAAAAATCTAGAAAGAAAGATGAAAGGAAATCTGGAAAGAAAGAAAGAAAGAAAGAAAGAAAGAAAGAAAGAAAGAAAGAAAGAATACGTGAGAAATTCTAGAAAGAAAGAAAGGGGAAAATCTGGAAAGAAAGGAAGAAAGAAAGATTTGATGAAATAAAAAATTATGGAAAGTTTATGAAAAAAACAAAATCGAATCGAAGAAGAAAAACAGAAAACAGTGAAAGAAGTAAAAAAACACAAAATGGTTCAAAGGGTAAACGAAATAGCAATTTGGAATATCCAATTCCCACTCTAAGAGATTTCACTCACTAACAAGTTTTAGAAGCACTCGCGAAACGAAATCATTTTGAATTAACCAAAGTATGTTGAATACAATTATATGAAAAAACGATTAATAACCATTTAATAAAATAAAAGAAAATTTTCAAAAGTCAAATTAAAAAAATAAAAATTACTTTTTAAAAGCGAATATTAAAACAAAGTATTTAAAATAACATAATCGAAGAATAGTGAAAAATAGTGAAAAATGTTTAATACTCATTGATTTATTTAAATACTAACGATGTACCATTACTACTTCCACACAGAGACACACAGACAGACACACAGATAGACAGACACACACATACACACACACACACACACACAGATATATATATATATATATATATATATATATATATATATATATATATATATATATATATATATTCAATTCTCACCCGTCGAAGTGCAACTGTAATGCACTGAAACCAAGTTGCATCTTTGTAGTGAGTAAAATGGTTTTGTCTATATGATAAAATTATAATAAATAAATAATTATCGCTCTACTATCGCTATCGAGCGCTCTTTTAGATTAATGCTGTGAAAGTTGGAATTTATATATTACTTCCGTTCACATCGCACCAGATATATATATATATATATATATATAATTATTTTTTGAAAAATATTATTCCTTCGCTACATAAGAGTTCTCATGTTTCAAAACCGAGAGCCGAAAACTTCAATATAATTATTAAAATTAAATTGAACTAAAGTATCAAGCCTTGTTTCATACTGAAGCGAAAATTTAGGAATAACCACTCTTGAAATTCACGCATCTTTATAAGCATGTTCATTCGCAAAATTAATTACTATGGAAACGGCCGGGGCGACCAATTTGATAAGGGGCATAAGAGTTAATTTTTATCCTCATATCAGTCACCTTCATACAGACATCATATTTCGGATTACATCTATTCTTTCGTTTTTCCTGTTATTACCGAGAAGTAAAAAACAAAAAAAATCTATTTCCATTCCTGATGATGTCTGTATGCACAGATGAAAGCTTGTAAAAAAATTAAAAAAAACCTTATGCAACTGGAATTTATAAACGGGGATCATAACATTCATCTACAGGTTCGGGGTTAATGTACTTTATTAAATTTCTTTGTGAAGATGTATTCTCGCCATTTAAATCATTAACTTCTATAACTGTTTTTTGTATGAATGATATATATATATATATATATATATATATATATATATATATATATATATATATATATATATATTGCATGAATCATATATATGCCGTAACAGTATTTCGCGGTATGCAACGGTTGAGAAATACTGCGTTAAGATGATAATAAACACCTTTGATCTTTTGAATAATGGCCTGAAGATTTGCAGACACTGAAACGTTGTTTAACTGAAGACAAATAATAGGCGTGTCCATAAGCATACATAGATGAAGATATACTGTCCTATGTGTTGGGTAATATTCGATAGGTCGACATTTGACATATTGTCTTTACATTTTAAGGGCGTGGACATAAATTGTCGCTGTCGTCTGCTTTATCTTATACTCAAGAATTTCATTTCTTCTTTGCTGATCGCTTCACTTACGATGATGGCTTTAATGGCGAAGTACACCAATTCTTGCATAGAAGAGCCGATGGCGTTGACTGCATGGTAATCTCTCGTCGTTTCATTTCTTCTTTTCTCTAGTGGTGGGGTGGTAGCACCTGTTAGGGTCCCAACTATGGGCAAATAGTTAATCCCCAATCAAAAGCAAAACACTATGAAAGTATAAAAATAGATTTTAAAGTAAAAATACAAGCGAAACATTGAAAAAGAATATTACCAGCAATACATTTGACTCGACAAAAATACGTCAATGAAACCTGATCTACAAAACGATTTCTTACAAAGAACACATATTCTATTCATAAAAAATCTATTTAAAAAATATCTTGTCGGCATTAAATAACCCATTAATGTTGATATGCCGTAATACCATATATCATATATCATAATATATACATCATACATATAATAAATATGTATCATAAATATAATACATCATACATAATATCATAATACAAAATAAACTACACCAAACCAATGTTCTAGTGGCTTCCAAGTGTTGTTTTCAGTTGGTCTTTATATCTTCCAAGAGGGCAACCCTGAAGTGTTCTTTTCCCTGAAGTGAGCTCACTGAAAAAGACTTGACGTGGAAACCATGACTCCTGCATTCTTACTACATGTCCTGATCATCGAAGTCGATTTTTCAGGATCAGCGATGTGATGCTTTGACTATTGGCTCTTTTCAGGACTTTGGTGTTTGTCATATAATATTTCCACTTGATGTTCAAGGTTGAACGAAGCTTTTGCTGGTGAAAGCGTTCTAATTTTTGGATGTCGCGTGTATACAGAGTCCACGCTTCGCAACCATATAGCAAAGCTGAAATGACAACAGCGTTATAGGCCGTAATTTTTGTTTAGTTCAGATCTTTATTGGGTGCTACTCGAGTATGATATATACCGTCTCTTTTCTATCATAGTATATCTACTATTGATTTTTTTACTATGGTATGATATTTAACAAATGTTGGAGGTATGAAATATGTTAGGGTTACAAGTTAGGGTTAGGGTTAGCAGTTAAGTTTAGGAGTTAGGGTTAGGATTACGAGTTAGCTGTGAGGGTTACGAGTTAGGGTTAGCTGTTAGGGTTAGCGGTTAAGGTTAAGAGTTAGGGTTAGGGTTAGTTGTTAGGGTTACGAGTTAGGGTTAGCGGTTAAGGTTAAGAGTTAGGGTTAGGGTTCGGAGTTATCTGTGAGGGTTACGAGTTAGGGTTAGGGTTAGGGTTACCTGTTATGGTTAGCGGTTAAGTTTAGGAGTTAGGGTTAGGGTTACGAGTTAGCTGTGAGGGTTACGAGTTAGGGTTAGGGTTAGCTGTTAGGGTTACGAGTTAGGGTGAGCGGTTAAGGTTAGGAGTTAGGGTTAGGGTTACGAGTTAACTGTGAGGGTTACGAGTTAGGGTTAGGATTAGCTGTTAGAGTTACGATTTAGGGTTAGCGGTTAAGGTTAGGATTTAGGGTTAGATTTAGTGTTACGAGTTAGAGTTATCCATTACGGTTAAGGTTAGGGTTAGCGGTTAAGTTTAGGAGTTAGGGTTAGGGCTACGGGTTAGGATTAGAGTTTGCGGTTAAGGTTAGGATTAGGCTTAGAGGTTAGTGTTAAAGGCAGTGAACAGTAAACTGGTTATGTATTAAAAATCATTAACTATTTTTTATACAAAAAATTAAAAATCATTAAATTCAGATTTTAATGATTTAAACTGATTTTATGTCATTTAAAAAAACGCTAAGCAGGTCATCGTTTTTCCTGAGCATTTTCCAGCAATAATGAGTGCATCATCATTTAAGGTTGGTCGCAAATGCCTCAGTAGATATCATGCTATAGTAACACCCTTTTGTTGAAGACGCGTTTGATTCCCCATCTACAGTTCCAAATCTGTGTTCTACATCCTTTTCTCAGGTTGGCTGCCTAAATGCTCAGCTTGTTCGAGAAGTGTATCACAGATGGTAATATCAAAATCTGGTAAGATGATATTTGGGGCTGTGCAAGTACCTTGGTTTTCTTGACGTTTACTGTAAGACCAAAACCCTAAACCCTGACCCTGCCCATAGCAAAGTTGTAAAGTTATCCACAGACTTGAAGTTCTTTTGAATGACAGGGAGCGGGGTTATCAGTTGTCATCAGCATAATGAAGTTCTGAGAAGTGTTTCGTAAGTGTTAGACGTTTAAATCGAAGTCTACAAAGGTTGAAATGTACTCCATCATATCGCTATCTGATGTCAACTTCTGGACTTTTTTTTAATCATTTCAACCTCAGTAAGGCGCGAGTGCCACTTGTTCGCAGAGGGCTGCATAGAGTGAAGGTGAGAGAAAAAATGTGTATAGGGAGATTGAGGAAACGATAAAATATGAATGGGATTCAAGACATCAAAAGATGGCGACTGACGTTGCCTTTAAATTTTTGAAGATTGTAGTTATCAGGGAAGCAAGTAAACGGGAGTTCCACAGGCGGGAAGTGCGAGAAAAGAGACTTAGAATAGAAGTGGCGGTTACATTTAACTTCCTTTCGTTGGCAGCTTCTAGCAGTTTTTGTCTCATTACTCTTCCTTTCTAGTCTCTGTTCTTCTATTCATTTACACAAGCTCGTCGTGTAGGTTAATTAATAACTGTTTCCATCGGCCTTTCTTGACCTCTCTCGTGAGAGCCAAATTCTCCAATGGCAAAAGGGTGGGTCCGAGCATGCTAGTCTGGAAGCATGCTTAAATTTATGTAGTCGGAGCATCAGGAGAAAAAAATTCGACAGAACAGTTGCCATGAAAACATTTTTTAGAAAAGACAGATGTAAGCCATGTCACATTTGTAAGAAAATGACTGGAGTCGAGGAAGTTTAAACTGTAAGCAATCAATACGCATACAGTCATTTACTGCCTATCAAGCTAATGATATTTTTTTTTCAAATAAGCCTTTTAGGCTTACGTTGACATCACGTTGTTTTGTGATGTTAGACGCTCACGCGTTCTAACTTTCGTTAGGTCAACGAAAGCTCGTTATCTTTTCCGAGATTCTCATTGTAGACGAGACTTTGTAAATGCAGATACTGGTCGTAGTAACGCCTTCAAATAGCACTCGCACTAATACTACTTGTACAAATAGTAATCGACGAATCGTAAGTCGTATAATGAGCAAATAATATAGTGAATAGTTATAGAGAATAGACGTCACACTAATTCTCATTTATACGTTTCTTTTACGATCACGTGATCTACTTATTTAACAATGGAATCGTCCCTGTTTTCTCACTGGTGATCTGTGTTCAAACGACGGTGTTGGCAACGACACTTTATTCCTATACAACACGTTGAAACAGCAGTTTCCGTACAATCACCGAAGTTAAGCAACGTCGAGCCTGGTCAGTACCTAGATGGGTGACTGATTCAGAATGTCAGGTGCTGTAAGCTTGGATGCGCGGGTGGTGTAATGGATAATATCTCGAAATTGTTAATCGAGGAACCGAGTTTCAATTCCCGCTGGGTTCGTTATATTCAGTTACTCGCAAATACCCTTAACAAAAGTATTATTTCACATCTCCTCCCCCAGCTGTGGGTTATTTAGTAAGATCTGTATCACTAAATCACTTAGTAAGAAATGTATCACTATTACCCCCCTTCACCCAAATTCTTCCAATCTAATATATTTTCTGGCTTTAAATAAGCTGCAAATGGTTGATAAGTCGTAAAGAAAGAATGATTCAAAAAGATCTCTAATCCCAGACACGTTTTTGTTTTGTTTCATTTTTTGGTGCCGGCAGACTTCAGTTCACTGAATTGAAAATAGGTTATTACTTTCTTTTTCTTTTGTGTGCGGTCTCCTCAAAGGACGTGGGTGATTTTGGCTCACCCCAACTTCCTTTCCTTCGCAGTTTTTAGCTGTGTTTGTCTAGTTACTCTCCCTTCTGTCGAACAATCACGTGGTCAAGATAAACACTCAGTTTTGGAGCAAGCTGAGTGAATACTAATTCAACATTGAGAAAGAGAGCTATTTATGGTGCAATGGAGCATCTCATTATGCTAAAGTGGGATAGTCCATTGCTTGGGCTGTGATTGGCTGCTGGTACCTGAGTGGAAGTATTTCTATATAAATACCAGCTTGATTTCTCAGTTAGTTTGCAGGGTTTGTATTAAGTTACAACCTGCTTTATTTTTGTCTGCCAGCTGGACGCTAGCTGGGACTCTTACGCCGGTAAGTGTTGTTTATTGTATTGTTATTCTACACCTTCTACTCTCTGTCCTTCCATCCATTTACACAAGCACTTCGTGTAGGTTAATCACTGTTTCCCTCGGCCTTTTTTGCCCTCTCTCGTGAGTGTCAAATTCTCCAAACCCTCTTTCCTCATTATGCGTTCCAGAAATTTCAATTCTCTCCTTCTGATTCGCTCTATAATTTTTTTTTTTCCATTTTCCTTAAAAATTCTTCATGGACCGGTCATCGAAATGTGTATTCGCTTTATTAAAAAGCATTCCTCACATATCGTTAACTTTGCTTTGTCTAAAAAATTTTCATTGCACAGAATGGGGGCGTATGTAGGTGACACTTGGGATAACTTATACGATGTCAGTCGAAGAGATTAGCGCTTCCTTTCAACTAGTGAAAACTCTAACTCTCTCCTACCATCCTTTTATTATCTCGACATCGTAACGCGCGGCTAGCAACTCTGATGGGCAGCATCAAAACTATTAGGTTGGTGCAAAAATAATGACGTAATAATGTCGTTTTTTGACGTATTTTTTAACGTCAAAAAACGACATTATTACGTCATTATTTTGCACCAACCTAATACCTCAAGGGACAGAACAAATTCCAATCTCGACTCTGACAGTTAATTGTGACTTGTGACCGGAAATCGCCCATGTTTGGTTTGTTGTCACTTGACTCCAGAGGCTTTTATTCAGTCATTATTTTATTCTCTTTTGTTCAAGTGAGTGTCTGCTTTTGAGCATCACAGACCCCCACCTTAGATGTGGTTGTTCAACCACAGTGTCACAAAGGATATTGGTGTAGATATTGGAACTAGCGAACCAGGTTCAAATTCTGAGCTAGTCTCTTTCGTACAAGCGCACAAAAGTCTCTCTCACTTTCGCACACGGTGGAAGAGGCATAGATGCATTGGTTCTCTCCCACCCTTCAGCTACGTGAGACTCTCGCCTTGGGTGACAACCAACCTAAGAGAAGGAAATCTTTTCATCTTAAACCACGAAGAAGGCAACCGAAAAGGAACCACTATCTTTCACAGGAATGCATGGGAATTCACAGATAACGAAAAGAAAGAAAACGTGGAGGGTCATGATCGCATATATCCTGAAGGGACATGATATTAAAATGAAATAACCAGCCATCTATTTCAATATCGAAAAGGTCTAGTGAATTGACCCACCACACACACACCGATACTTATTCTTTGGCCACTATCTTGTGAATCGATTTTTTTATATATTTGTTTTTGACTCCTGAAAAGGGGAATAATCGCAATCATCAGAACAAATTGGACCACACAGAAAGAAATTTTTGAAATTCATGTTAAACCTTCCGTTTAGCGTGAATTTCGACAAGTTCTTTATGAAGAGACCCCGTCCACGTCCACATACTCCAACAGCACGGTCTACCTCCCTTTACTTTACAAAAATTTACACTCATCAGAGTAGGGGACTTATTTAAATAATATTGAACTCGTTATGGGCTGATCTTGTCAAAGGGGACAAAAATGTGTCAACATTTGAAGTCACTGATGACCTTCTTTAATCCGGCCATGGCGCCTACTTTGTCAAGTTAATACGTCTTGTCTTTTCAGCGTTTATACAAAACTTTCAATGTTAGCTTTTTCCAAACCTCTTCCTTTACGGGGATTATTTGAAGGGATAACTTTTGATGATTTGCCAAGGTTTCAGAAACCATTTTATTAGCTAAAGATATTCTATTGTATTTAAGAGAACCTTCAGTCAGTACTTTAATTCTCATAAAAATATTTTTGGCCTTGCGACAGCACGGCTGATGCTAACCTCCAGAAGAGTAACCCATTTCGTCTTCTTGAATTCATGTTTTACACTTACATGAAGTGGATTGATCGTATTGAAACAATTGCTAGGAAAGTTGGTACACTCTATAGTGACAGGCAATTTTTCACGTCAGAATCCATTTTGCAATTTATAAATCTATCATTCATTCATGCATTGAATACTGCAGTCGTAACTGGTCTGGTGCGACAGTAAAATAATAGTTTAGGAGACTATTATTTTTAGGGGGAATGGTATCTCTGCTCTGACTTCCTGAGGTTGACCTTTGCGGTCAAACGGATGACAAATCAAGGAAGTCGATTTTAAAATAACCTGCAAAACGTTAATTAACCAAAGAAAACGAATCGAATCATCAAATAGAAAAACCAAAGTAAACTGTAATTTAAGAATTTAAGTGACGTATATTAGAAAATTAGCACATTTTTCTCTGATTGAAAGAAAACGTTAAGAAAATTAGTGTCAGTTTAAACTGACGCTAGGAGGATATAGCTTCAAGAATAATTCGGATGCATTTCTTCGATTGCTATGATAATATTTAATTAACTCTATCAGCAATGCTCAGCCGATAACATAGTAGGGTCATATTATGACGATACTAATCTTTGCGTCAGGCTAAATTTTGTCTGCGTTCTCATCTTAAATCAGTAGAACAGAACAAAACAGCACGAACCGTTAACACATAGACATAGTCATTTTAATATCAGCCGTCTGTCTCTTTACTTCCTCCTTCTTTAAAGTTAACCGTTTAAATAGGTCATGGTCTGGTCCCTCCTCCCCCAACACTAAGTATGATTGAAAGAAATATTAAAATAAACCCTCTCTAAACTCGACCATGTCTCTCACACCACTCCTCACTACCTTCTCTGTTAAATTACATAAACTTAATACTACCCGTAAAAAGTGTGATTTTTCATCTTTCGTTTCATTTTTTGGAAGTGTTATCTGATGATCCAGCGTCCCTTAAAAGGGCTCTGGTAAAATAAATTATTATAATAGAACCTTAAAGTAGTCTGTTTTTCTTTAAAATATATATATATATATATATATATATATTATATTACTATTATTATTATTATTAACAAATTGCGTTTATAACAGTGGCTCCCAACCTTTTTTGAATCATCACCGACTTTCACATGTAAAAAAAATTCCACCGCCTACCTGTATAGTAAATATTCAAAACATACCACAATTGTTTCGTAAAAGTTTGTTACTGGTTCGTAAACTTACTTTATGTTGTAGTAAAATATACCAAAGGGAGGTAACAAATAACGCTGACATATGCAGCTGCTGCTGCTACTATTACCATATGAAAGAACAAACAAAAGCAAACTTGACCATTGAAAACTATATAGAAAATACTAAAAAATTTCCGTGTTTGTTAAGATATTTGTATCTTATCTAGGAATCTGACCCAGTTATTCGCATTTAAGCACCTGTTTGTTTTTTTGTTATTTTTTTTATACAGCTTCTTTGCATATCCCGTTTGAATATTTTTTCGGTTGAAATATATTTTGATACGCAAAATCTTATATCACCCACCAAAATTTCTAATCACCTTCAGTTGTTCATCGCCAACCCAATAAGTAAAATCAACCACCGCTAGCCGATGTCGCTAAGGTTGAGTAACCCTGGTTTATAACATACGCGTTAACATTAAATTTGCATAACTTATTAAATTAATATTCTGGGTTATTTATTTTAAATTCCGATTTTAATTCCGATTTTTAAATCGTCTTATATAATCAATATTTCCGCTGATAAAGTTTTTTTTATTTTTTTATTTATCGTGTTTGTATAGAAGTAATTTTTATTTTCTTAGTCAAATTTCAGTCGTAGGTCAGCAGAAAAAATATCAACGTGCTTAGATTTTAAGAAAACTTCAAAATAATGTAATCGGAACTTCTGAAAATAACGTTTTTATTTATTTTCATTTCTTTAGAAATAGACATAAAGTAATTTTTTTTAAATATTAAAACTTTTATATAATTCTATAAGTATAGATTTTAAATAAGTATATATAAATAAGGATATATAAATATATAAATATATATATATAAATATATAAATAAGTATATATAAATAAGTATATATAAATATATAATATATATATATAAATATATAAATAAGTATATATAAATAATATATAAGTATAAAATTTCTATAAGTATAGTTCTAGCAACGTCGGTTACCATCTTTCTTTCTTTCAGTGTTCATAGTAACCATTGTTGCTGTCTGACATTTCACATTACTACAGATTAATTAAAGGGGACCGAAAAAAAACGGAATTATCTCAGTAAGTCAAAATAATCTATTTAAGTAGATCTTCTTAAAAATGCACCGAATTATTTAAACAAGTAAAAAAAATTGCTGAATTAATAATAATAA